TTTGATTTTTTTAATGGTTTTAATTGTTAACATAATTCGCAATTCAGCCTTTTGGCTGCTATGTTTTATGTCTTAATTTGAATTTTGAATTTTGAATTTTGAATAAATATACCATTTTGAATGAATGAATGAATGATTGATAGGTACTTCCAAGAATACCTACCAGTAATGATAAACTTACTGTTTGTATTTGAAAGCAATATCAGCAAATTCCTTACGACGAGCACGATAAACAGGATCCGTAAAGCCCTAAAAACCCCAAAACAAAACAGAAAATAAAAAACCTTGAGTAATCATATCAATGAATTAAAAGTAATGTACCAATTAGTTAATTACAAATCAATTAATGAGTCTTTGGTGCTTCTATAATCCTGATGATAATGAAGAGGATGATAATGGTAATAATAATGATAATGATAATGATGTTAATAATAATGATGTTGATTGCAATGATGATTATTATAATGTTTATGATGATGTTGGAGTTGACAGTGTTGATAGTGATAGTACAATAGAAACAGTGATTAAAATGATAATCAAAAAAAACATTTCAAATATGAATTATTAATATAAATTGAACCAACTTACGGGATGATTACTATCCAGCTCATGACCATAGCTCAGGATCTGGTTAGCAAAGCGATCCAAGTCTCTAATCCGCCGAGGAAACCATGGAACTGAGATTATAATGTATGTTCATTTCAAATATTTAAATTTATATTTTTACAATGAGTGTTCATGACATCTTCACTTGATGTGCTACTCTAAATTAAAATCTAGCAGTGTTTCTTTAATCACAGCCATATCAACTGAGACAGTACAAGTCTACATTCAGCCACACACAAAGAAATAAATTATATATTTGTTGCAACTGGCATATTTGACTATGACTAGTGCGCATGAATCAAGATGGAGAAAACGTTAAATGTTTATAATAATTATTATTATCATAAAGACACACTGCCACATAAAAAATAAAAGAGTCATTTAATAAATACTATTCTTATACTTTTACAATTAGTAAATTTCTGGAAGCAAATTTAAGGCTTTTCGTAGAAAAACATCTGTAAAAAATAATGAAACTAATAACAATGTAATTCCGTTAATCAAAAAGAAATTAGCAATTCAATTTGAAAAAAGAAATATTTTTATTTTGTGGGTGGCAGTATATCTCTAATATTAATTGTTATTTCAATTATATCAGTGAATCTATGCAGTTTCCTCCATGATGTTATAAATATCATCAAAACTACCAATACAAATTCAATTTCAACTATAAAAGCAGCGAAGAGTTTCACATGCAAACTATAAAGGATGCATTTTAAAATCAGATGCACAGTTTAGGATAATAGATAACTCTATCATTGGAGAAATTAGCCACTCTATTCAAGGACTCTTTAAAAACAATTGCAAGCTGTTTAGTCAAGTGGAACAATAAGCACCAAACGACAACCAGTACGGTATAAAATAAGTTCTATAGAGTACCACAGTTGTGTCATCACGACGCCATGTGAAGTTCATGACGCTGAATGACTTCATAGGCTTTCTGGAATAGACATTTTAAAATCTAATATTTTACCATCAAAATGTACTAAAAACACAAACACTCGCATTATATTAGTTATCGAACACACATTTAATCATCAATTAAAATTTACAAAGAAATAGAAACGCATTTTGCAACGATAGCAACAGAGTAGTATCACGTGGTATCATGATGCAACATTGTAGTACTCTATAGTAGTTCAAATGACAAGGATTAGAATGGGGTCTCATAATTTAAGCTTTTACCAATATTTATTTGGAGAGAATATGAAGTTTAGAGCCATAAATATATAAGTATCTATCATTACTCTACCTTTATATATATTATATATATTACTTTACTATATATATATATATATAATGTATGTATCAAA